GCGAAGTAATACGTATGACAGCAATCAGTCAGCCGGCGCAAGGGCGTGCCGTAGAAACGGAACGGTGGCGCGATCGCGACACCCTTTGTGAGGGATAGCCGCGATTTGCATCGGCCGTGCGCCGAATAATGCATACGCGAGCTCGCTTCGGATCCGATCGAACCTACGTTGTCCAACTAATTACCACCACCACCACCACTCTCGTCAATCGATGTGGAATAGAGACCACGAATTTCTCTTCGAAAGTAAACGGAGAGAAGAAGAATTGGAGGAGAAGAAAAATTCTAGTTAGGAAAATACTAGGGAAGGAGTTGACGCAGGCAGGTTTAACTTTATTTTTTTTTTTTATTCGAGAGTCGGGGGATCGACGAAAAGGCGGCGGCACAATTAACTCCGGCACAATGGATTTTTCCTCTTTTGTTGTTCCGAGGCGGATGCCTCGAGAGTCACGGTTGATCGCGAAAATCGTTCCGTCACGATGCAAATGATCCGTTTGGAAGCCCGTTCTAGGAATTCTCGATTCTCGCGCGGAGGACAAATTCGTTAACGCGCGAGAGAGAGAGAGAGAGAGAGAGAGGTGGTCAAGTCGACGTGACGGGACTAGTGATCGCACAGCGCGTGGAAACGTGGCATAGGAAGGTGGAATTCTATCCGGGAATCCGGTGGTATCGCGGTCATTAGGCACTCGACCGCTATCTTTGTCGCCTCCTCCTCCTCCTCCTCTTCTTCTTCTTCTTCTTCTTCTTCTTCGAAAGAACGCCAAAGATGCTTATCGCTCGCTCGATACGAAATTATGTGCTTCGATACGAGTGGAACGATTCGTTTGGATACGATAGTTTAGAAATCGAACGGATTCGAGTCGGTGGTAAAGATTCGATCCTGCTTACTTAACCCGTACATACTAAACACACACACACACATATATATATATACTATCGTTTTCCATTTGAGATACGCTCGTGGATCGACGGTTACGGGTACACAATGTTTCCGAGAGATCGTACGTATTCGAGGGCGAATTCGATTATCGGATTGGCATATAAGAAAGTGCGTTGAGAAGAGGAGCGGGAAGGGGGGAAGGAGAGTGACGGAACGTTAGGCGGCGCGATCCACGGCGATCGATCGGCCAATAAACTCGACCTACTCCATTGTGCGCGAGCTTTCGCGCAGAAATAGGCTGCCCCGTTGAATCGGGCGTGGATATCGGTCGCCGATGTCGCCGGCCGGCAGCGAGCCGATAACGAACGGGCGCCGCCGATCGCCACGGGTTGAAATCGGCGGCGAGGCAAGCCGTCGAAACGAAGAAGGAGACATTCCAGGGCTAGGCGTATCCCGAGAAGGTGTTCCAGGTTGCGCGCTGTCTAATTGATCGGAAATACAAAAGAATCGGGTCGGCACGCCACGACACGGCCTCGTGCGTGTCCACGGCTCGCTTCTATAAACATGCTAATGGCGGTTCCCGATAATAAGTTAGCGGTCCCGATAGTCTCGCGACTTCTCTGCTGTATATACGCACGTACACGCACACGCACACAATCTCGGTATAGCCACGTAAACGACGACACGGTCGCGCGAGATGCGGAGGAGAGACGCGCGCGCGCGCGGGTTAGGAGGAGGGACGCGGAGGAGAGTAGGAGAGAGGACGGACGGAGGAGCCGGGAGAAAGATGAAAGAGGGAGAAAGAGGGAGGAGGGAGGAGGGAGACAAAGGGAGTAGAAAGGGGGGTCCGAGGTCTGACCACGAGAGCGTGCTTTACACGCTGATGCGTCCGAACACGTCGAGGCGGAGAAGCAGAAAGAAGCGAAAGTGGCGAAGGAGAAGGTGGTGGAAGAGATGGAGGAGGAGGCGGTTGCGGTGGTTGCGACGAAGGGAAGGTGGCGAAGTAAAGGGCGACGGGCAGGGGGAAGGGAGGGGAGCGAGAAGGGGAGGGGAGGGGTTAGTAGCTCTTGTAACGCTATCAACCCTGTCGCTGTACATCACGTCGACACCATCCTAGTCGACTCATTTCAGCCCGCAAGAGTAGTAGGAGTTGGCTTCTGCGCCATTACTTCGCTCGTCGTCGGTCCTACGTGCACACGCAAACACGGCCGCGATCGAGCCACGTAGCGAGTAGCGAGTGAGTAAGTAAGTAAGTAAGTAAGCAAGTACACGCAGGTTGCACGCGAGGCCGGCCAACGAGAGAAAAAGAGGGAAAGAGAAGCTTCGCTTCGAAGGTACGCGCGCGCTACTACCGGCCGCTACGTACGTGGGAGAAACCGAACGATTACGCGAAAAAATATAAAGATCGAACGAATTCGCTTACGGTCGTAATTCGTTCGACTCGAGGAAATCGAGAGTAATCGAGAGCGGACGAAAAATTTTCGAGCGAAGGAATTTTTCTCGCGCGGAAAGTGGAATGTGTACATATATATATATATACGTGTATACGTATATAGTAGGTATACGAGGGCGTCGTCCTGGGTTGGAAGATCGGGAACCGGTGAAACGGTTTCGGGGCGAATCTCGAGACGTGCGAGAACGTCTGTTTCTCGTGGGATATCTCCCGGCCATTTCCGTTTAATTGATCGTCCTGAAACGTTGCCACGTATATGTGCTCCGTGGATCGAAGACGATACCGGGACGGCGGATTCAATGGTCAGTGGACGAGCCAATTAGCTCCGTCCCAATGCTCAGGTACGCTCTTCTCCCTCGGTCTTCTCCCCCCCCGCACCCTCGTCGAGTCTCCTTGTCCCGCACAAACGAGGGCGCCCTCTCTTTTTCCCACCCGAGCACGGATTCCCGGTCTATATGCGACCTGGAAGGCTTCCGGGCTGAAGCGGGACATTACGGGCCCCCCTTCTGCCCGGCCACGGAACACAGAAAACCCGAGGTCCTATCTTATCCGCGGAGAAGTTTATAGCCCGGTCGACTCTAATTGGGCGAGAAATCATCGGCCACTCCTTTCCTCTGTCCGCTCGGTCAAAAAGACGCTCACTAATTCACGATTTCTCGCGTATTATTGCCGGCCCATGCCTGGCTACCCTACCCCTTCCTTCACCCTCCTCCCCTCCTCTCTCTCTCTCTCTCTCTCTCTCTCTCTCTCTCTCTCTCTCTCTGTCTCCGAGGCTGCGACCGTTTTTTCACCACCTCGGATTTCGGCCACCTCGTCATTCCGTTTCCTCCGTCCAACGAAAAAGTTTGGACAAAGTTTCGCGAGGAATCGCGCTCTTTCTTCCACCGATTTCGCCGCGATTTTCACCAACGCGCGATCCTCCTTATCGACCGGCCAACCGTGTCCACGGTTATCCCCTTCCCCTCATTTCCCCGGAGAGGAATCCTCTCACGGTTTCTAGACACGGTTTCGTCTAGAAGGATCGCGGGGTGTATCGATTCCATCCTCCTCTCCCTTCTTGGAACGGGCGGAGAGGAAAGGAAGCGTCCTCGCGGTGGCGCGTGGACGAAAACAGGCGAAGAGGAGAGAGGAAGCGCGCGAGAAGGTTGCGGTACGCGATATATACCGCGGCAGGCAATATCTCATTGAGCGAAGGAGGAGGTGACGCCTTTAACCTCCCCCCCCACCTCCTTCCCCTCGTTCTTCCCATGAGCAATCGCGGCCGAGACGGGGCCCCGACGTGGCCGTTGCCGGTAAGATCGTTAATCTTACCGCACCGATCGGTCTCAGATAGTAATTGTTACGTTCTCTCGTTTCTCCTCCTCCCTCCCTCCCTCCTCCCTTCCGACTGTCCGAATGTGTCCGACCGCGTCTCTCCCTTCCCCCTCCCTTCCCCACCCCACCCCTTCCTCGTCTTCTTTCTTTCCCTTTTCTCTCGAGCGCAACCGACCCATCACCATCAGGCTTGGTCTTAACGCCTTTGCCAACTTTGTTCGCGTAACGATTTACGTTACCTCTATCCCAAAGTTTTCGTCTCGCTCTTCCTCTCTTTTCGAGATCAATTTCAATTCCGATTCCCTCGGAAAGAATCTCTCGATTCGAACAGGGGGGAGGGGGGAACTATCTAATAGATAGAGACAATGACGGTGCGAGAAACCTCTAGTAATATAAGGAGGAAAGATAGAGGGGTGGAGAAAATGGAAGGAATAAATATAGGGACTCGCGTAAGACGACATTCGTGGAATGATCCACGAATATTTGGCAAGTTTGTTTCAATTATCCGAGACCCTTTCTCCCTGTCTCGACGAATGCCCGCGATGCCGTTCGATGTCTCAATTTCTCTCACGAGGCCTCCTCTCTGTCTCTCTCTCTCTGTCTCTCTGTCTCTCTCTCTCTCTCTGTCCTTCCGCTCCTCTTCGATCGTTCGCTCTACCGTGCGCGCACATCGCTTGGGCCACGGGCGTGGTTATAAATTTGGTAGTCGCGTTAACAGCTGACGGGGACCACGATATCCGAAATGTTGGCGGATCCGGTGTTTTCGTGCTCTCCTCTCCGCCAACAACCACCGATTCCACCCGTGGCCGAGAAGTGTCGCCCGAGAAACCAGTTTCACACGCAGATTCCTTATTTGCGAACCCGACGAAACCGTAGATTCGAGTTAATCGTCGATGAGCTGTTCCTTCTCCCATTATACCCTTCCCCCTCTCTCTCTCTCTCTCTCTCTCTCTCTCTCTCCTGTCCGTCCTCTCGACTCGAGACTCTGCTCGAATCTGAGCAATCTCCCTCTCCCTCTCCTCCCCTCCCCCTCCCCCGCCCCATCTCCCGATGATTAATTTTTCGGTGAAAACGCGTACGATAAGTGTATAAAAGAGGATTGAAAAAGAAGAAGAAGAAGAAGAAGAAGAAAAAAGAGGAAACTGAAAACTGGATGGACTGTTTGGCGTGGACGAGGGACACACGTTTGCTCGTGTTGTGATTTCGAGTGTAGTGAAAGGCGATTGGTAGATATTTACAAACGAAATTCATTTAAATAAAAGTCGTTTTTTAACAGAGTGTTTTTTCGTTACAGTATTACCATCTGTTCGACTATTCTATCTACGTAGTGGTAGCAGCAGCAGCAGTAGTAGTAGTAGTAGTAGTAGTAATAGTAGTAGTAATAGTAATAATAGTAGTACCTAGGCAATCCGCATTATCTGCGGATGTATAACGGATTCTCTAGGACTAGTTGCGGATAAGATTGTCCGGACTCCGCGGCTCCTCGCTTCCAGACAGCGGAGGAACGAATCGTCCTGTGCCGCGCCGCTGTAAATTATATAACACGTGGCGCAATTGTAGCGCCATCGGCCGGTCGCCACAGCCCGATGCGCGAGCGATCGATCGACCTATCTAAAAATCCATCCGTAATTTTAAACCACAACGACGAGCCACGCGTTCTTCTTCCACGCGTGTTTCGGCTTCTCTCAACTTTGCTTACGCACAACCATCTTCGCGTTTATCGTAATAATATTAATCGTAATAAAGGGGGAGCGAGTAGAGACTTTTGTAAGACGCCAGGGACAAGTTGTTATTATCGATCGATCGAGATCGATCGAAATAATCGGGATACGCGAATTACAATTAGATTCGTAATACGACGAATAATAGTTCGATCCGTTCGTGTTTCGCGGATTGGATTTCACCGAGATTGAGAAGGGTGGGAAAAGGGGACCGTTCACGGGATCTGATCGAAGTTTTTCCACCGATCGGACGAGATTAGTCGCGCACTTTTATTTTCTTTTCACGCACTTTCTCTCCACGGATAATGTCTCCTCTCTGCTCGCAACAACTCCGAGTGTACACGCACATACACGCACATACACGCACACGCACGCAGTTACGTTAAATCACAACGTTTCGTGGTAAAAGAGAAAAAGAAAATGGATCGATCGAAAGAAAAAAGGGAAAAAGAAAAGAGATTTCAACGATCGTGTTTCGTCAATTCCAAAGGTTGCTGCTCCGTCCAATGATCCCTCCAGGCCCCGACCGTGGGCGAGGAAGGAACATCTTGGTCCGAATCTTGAACGTCTATCTCCTCGTCCTCTTCCTCGTCCTCCACGCGCTCCAATTCCTCTTTGCTCCTCGACTCGGCCCTGATCCCGGATCCGACGTTCGACGCCTCGTGCCTCTCGCGTTGCTCGTAGCCGGGGCTCGACGACTTGTTCAATATACTCGGCGAATCTTCCCCGACGAGTTGGCTGATCATCCTGAAGGCGCTCGGCTTCCGTTCCGGCTGCCTCGCGATCGGCTCCACCTTCTTCTCCATCCTCTCGTTCCGTTCCGCCATCAGCTCTCTCGACGACGACGAGGACGACGACGAGTTGGTCACCACGACCCGGAACGCGCTACTTTCCCCTCCCATTCCGCCTATCGAGCAGCTTGACGCACGATTTACCTCCATGCCGGATGCGGAATGCGGTTGCGGCGGCGGCGGCTGCTGCTGCTGTTGCTGCTGCTGCTGCTGCTGCTGTTGCTGCTGTTGCAGCGGAGGTGGCGGCGGAGGCGGAGGTGGCGGCGGCGGCGAACGCTTTAAGAGGTTCATTCGCTGATGACGACGCCACTTTGCCCGTCTGTTGGAAAACCAAACCTAAGAGTCACGAGTTAGGTCTCGTTAGATGGCTCGTGAACAAATTTGTCTAAGCTTGTCTAAACGCGGGGGGCTAAGCGCGCCAAGTTGCAGGGCGTGTCGTTTTCTCTTCCCCACTTTCCGTATCGAGCTTCCAAGAGGATAGACGCGCGAACGGGGAAAGAGACAGACAGAGAGAGAGAGAGAGAGAGAGAGAGAGAGAGAGTGAACGAAGAGAAGAGAGCAAGCCCTGCGAAACGAAAGCGCTCTAGCTCCCCGGACAAAGATATCTTGGATGGAATCGATCCCTCACCTGCACACGAGCCTCCGACAGAGACGTCTTCGATGCCAGCCGTTCCCGCGTAGACACGCAAGGATAGTGAGATCGTTCGAATTCCTTCTCGAGCTCCTCGAGCTGTTCCGGGCTGAACGTGGTACGGTTCCGCCGGAATTTCGGTTGCTCCGATCCGTCCAGGCTTCCCTCGTCCCCGTCGCCGTCTGCGCACAAAAACCACACACATTCTTCCACGCTCTCGCTCTCTCTCCCCCTCCCCTCCTCATCGTGGAAATCGCACGGAAATCGACAATCACCTTGCAAGTAGCCTCGGGCGATGGCGTCCGCGTGCAGGGAGTGATCCGGCGTTCCAGCGGCGGACGCGGAGGCGGCTGCGGCGGCAGCGGCCGCCGCGCCCGGGCTCAAGGACGGCGGGAGGAGCAGAGCGGAAGCGGCGCCCGAGATGCCGGTAGCCAACGGTGGCAGCATCCAGGGGTGGGCAGCCGCCCCCGGCGCGGGCCAACCGGCGGGCAGGTGGTGGCTGGTCGTCGGGTGCTGATGGCCGCTGTTGAAGTACGGGTGAGGGCCGGCGGCGTACAGCCCGTAACCCGCCGCCCTCGCGAATTCGGCGGCCGCCCGTTCCGCGGCGCGATTCCGAAGGATTCGGTTGATGCTGCTCACGGATGGTGCCGTCGCGTTGCTGCACACACCTGAAACCAAATCCAGAGAATTCTTGCTCTCCCGGGGATCGCTGCCGTCCCCATTCCTTCCCTATAGGGGAGGGCAGGAGGGGAATATATATATACATATATATATATAGGGGGGGCGAATGTTTTCTCGATCGAAAGCATCGAAACGTCGCGATCGAGATAGGACGAGGAGCGTCCTTCTCGTTCGATAACGCGAGTAATTACGATGCCGGTTTCTCGAACGAAGAGAGAGAGAGAGAGAGAGAGCTAGAATGGGAGAAGCGTAGAGCCAGGTTAAAACTTTCGTTCTACGATGAGCTTCGATTCTAGCTGTTAATGGAAATAATGGAACGACAGGCACGTTCGTTCGTTCAAAGGGATCCGTCCGCTCTTTTGAAATCGATGACGGGCATCCGGTTCTTTCCGCTTTTTTCGAATGCTCTTGATTTTCATGTGAATCGGTAAATGGGATGACGCACTGGGGATACGCTTCGAAGGCAGAAAGTTTCGAACGACGCGTTTAGAAGAGAGTTAATTCGATAGTTGAAATGGAGTTGAAATAGTTGATAGCGAAGGGAGGGGGGACTAGTTAAGAGAACACTTCAAGGTGAGATACTTGGCTGCTTTTGAAAAGAATAGAGCGTGTTGGTTGACAAGGACGTGGAAGAGTTTTCTTGATTCCGAGCAGCAATTACGCGTTTGCACGTATTGCAACTATTATTACGAGCGATTCGCAACGATGCACGAAATAACATTCGAGGCTCGAGCATCGTTGAATAATGATATTAGTTATTTGTAATTAGTCGCTGCTGTTGGACGCCGTTATTTTTTGCGCGAGTAATTTTTTGAAACGAATTCCCTGCCAAGTTCGACACTTTGACACATAGTTAGACGCTATTTCTTTTCGTTTAAATATCTACGCGAAATCTTTCTATCATAAAACGAATTAATGCTATTCTCATTGATAATATTGGCTCTTTTTCTTTTTTTCCTATTCAAATACGCTCTTCGAAATAAATTCGCTGCCACGACGGTTTATTCTCTTCCACGCCATTCTCTCTTTCTCCGTTTAAATATCCTTCGAAATGAATTTCACTCGTCATCGACGAATATCGGAGACGCTGCGTTCCTTCTCTCCGTTTAAACTTTTCGAAATAAATTCCTCATCAATCGAATTTGACAATTCGATAAGGATTCTCGCTCGATCGATGATTATCGACGCTTCGAAATGTGCTGTTCGAAAGCAGTTGGCTCCATTATTATTTAAACATTCGATGTTAAAATGGATCTCTGGATGTTCGCTTACCTTCGGAGATGAGCCTCTCCCGAATCTCCCATGCGAAAATGGTCGGGTTTTCCCTCTTGTACTGCTCGATCTTGGCGACGACGGCCGGCGTCGCGACTTTCGGCTTGCTACCACCGATTAAACCCGGCGGGCGCAGCGTACCTGGAACAGAACGAGCTTCAAGGACGCGTTGTCTTCGCTAATACTTCTGGCCCGCGATAAAATCGGTCGTAAACGGCGATGCCCGGCCACGTTTATGCGCCTCGCGCCTCGCTTCGTATCGGCGAGAGCCCGAGTGAACCCGCATAATTTCAGAAAATCACGCAAACATCGGCCATCCTCCGCGTAATAACAACGTCCACGCTCGAGTGTTAAACTGTCAGCCGGTCCTTATAAGTGTGCCCCAACCGCGCTAGCTTCCTCCTCGCGCCAACTCGCCTTCCAATAGATACAAAGTTACGGGCCCGTTGATCGCGCCCGAGCATCGAAGCGAAAGGAAAAATATTGCGTTCGACACTACTCTTCGCTCACGGGTCAAATTCTCTGAAAAGACTGGAAAGCTACGACACGAATTTTTCCCCTCAATTTCTTAGAACGTGATTTCATTCACGCGAGCGTTAAGTGAACGGCGTCGAATTTTGAAAATTATGTTGAAAATTATACGGTGATAGCGTGCGCAGGTCGCTGTGAACAGCGTACCGCGGAGAGATCTTCGAGAGACAAGATGGTGGCGAAGTTGGAGAATTTCGATTAAAGTTACTTTTTAAATAGTTATACTTATTGAAACGGATAACTGATTTATATAGTAGTTGAGTTTTCATGTACAATTATTTATCTAGTTTTGAACGAGAAATTATCTTTTTCGATTATTAAAATTTTTGTCCACCGCTGGATATGGTGGTGGAGAGAAGATTACAAGTTCGTATTTGAGTTCATTTCTCATATACAATTATTTATCAAGAACGAGAAATTATCTTTTTCGATTATTAAATTTTGCTGGACATAGTGGTAGAGAATAGAAAAGATTGCAAGTTGAGTTCGTTTCTCTTATACAATTATTTATCAAGTTTTGAACGAGAAATTATCTTTTTCGATTATTAATATTTTTGCCCACTGCTGGACATAGTGGTGGAGAGTAGAGAAGACTGCAAGTTCGTACTTGAGTTGCCTTTTCATATAAAATTATTTATCAAGAACAAGAAATTATCTTTTTCGATTATTAAATTTTGTTGGATATGATGATGGAGAGTAGAGAAGATTGCAAGTTCGTACTTGATTAACCTTTTCATATAAAATTATTTATCAAGTTTTGAACAAGAAATTATCTTTTTCGATTATTAAATTTTGTTGGACATGGTGGTGGAGAATAGAGAAAATTGCTTCTTAAATTCATTTCTTATATACAATTATTTTTTCATATACAATTAAGTTTTGAACAAAAAATTATCTTTTTCTATTATTAAATTTTGCCCATCGTAGGATATGGTGATGGAGAGTAGAGAAAATTGCAAGTTCGTACTTGATTAACCTTTTCATATAAAATTATTTATTAAGTTTTGAACGAGAAATTATATTTTTCGATTATTAAAATTTTTGTCTACTGCTGGATATGGAAGATTGCAAGTTCGTACTCGAGTTCACTTCTCATATACAATTATTTATCAAGTTTTGAACAAGAAATTATTTTTTTCTATTATTAAATTTTGCCTATCGTAGAATATGGTGGCGGAGAATAGAGAAGATTGCTCAAGTTGGTATTTGAGTTGCCTTTTCATATACAATTATTTATTAAGTTTTGAACGAGAAATTATATTTTTCGATTATTAAAATTTTTGCCCACTGCTCGACATAGTGGTGGAGAGTAGAGAAGATTGCAAGTTTCTATTTGAGTTCGCTTCTCATATACAATTATTTATCAAGTTTTGAACGAAATTATCTTTTTCTATTATTAAATTTTGCCCATCGTTAGACATGGTAATGGTATAAAGAAGATTTCAAGTTCGTACTTGGCGAAGAGTAGAGAAGATTGCAAGTACTTGAGTTCACTTCTCATATACAATTATTTATAAGAAATATTATATCAAGTTTTGAACGAGAAATTATCTTTTTCGATTATTAAAATTTTGATGAATATGATGATGGAGAATAGAGAAGATTGCTTCTTGAGTTCGCTTCTCATATACAATTATTTATCAAGTTTTGAACAAGAAATTATCTTTTTCGATTATTAAATTTTACTGGATGATGTAAAATAGAGAAGATTGCAAGTTGGTACTTGAGTTCACTTCTCATATTTATTTCACACAATTATTTATCAAATTTTGAACGAGAAATTATCTTTTTCGATTATTAAAATTTTTGTCCACTACTGGACACGGTGGTGGAGAATAGAAAAGATTGCAAATTCGCATTTAATTCGCTTTTCATATACAATTATTTATCAAAAACAAGAAATTATCTTTTTCGATTATTAAATTTTGTCCATCGTTGGATATGGTAGCGAAGAATAGAGAAGATTGCAAGTATTTGAGTTCACTTCTCACATACAATTATTTATCAAGTTTTGAACGAGAAATTATCTTTTTCGATTATTAAAATTTTTGTCCACCGCTGGACACGGTGGTGGAGAATAGAGAAGATTGCAAGTTCATCCACATCGAAGCACCCGACATCGGATATCAATCGTATCGTGTGTGAGCAGATCCACGAGGTAGTCATTAGAAGCTTAGCTTAGCGAAACGATACCGGTATGCGATAGCCTGCGATAATCAGAGATATCTAATACGAGCCGATCACGGGAATAGACGCCCGTGTAACGTTTCCAAGACGTGTTCCAAGCCTGCCATACCGCTCCTGCGCGTCTCACCAGCTTTGCTTTGTGAAAAAAGTGGCGGCTTCGACTCGCTCGGATTAGCGATACAATCGTTCGACGGCCGACATTGAAAATTCCATTTTCCATATCAACAGATATCAAAACGAATCAATCAACTTTTCACCATTTTCAGAAAATCGTTCGAAAATTCATTGGAATTTCCTTTACCATTCATATATATATATTCAGATACACATTTTTTGTTACTCCTCCTCTCAGAAATTAACGCATTAGATCCAGATTACTATACAACGTAAAATCATCCATCGTGTGTAAACATTACCCGATGATTTTATACCTTTATTCTTCGGAGAAAGTTGGACGAAACTGGGCGCATGACAGAGGTGAAGCTGCAGAGTAATTATAGAACGAATGTGTTTCGCGGTATCATTGGCGAGGAAAGAGGTAAAGCTGACGAGGTGTTACGCGAATGCATAAAAATTAAAAAAAAGATAATGCGTTGCTCGATGTTCGAACGTTCGAGCAAATAAAAATCAGCGAATTCTATCAGACTATTTATCGCGTTAGAAGAATTATTCATAGTTCTCTCAATTTCTAAATACGTCTTCGCCACGAAGATACGATCGTTTATTCGAAACGACCCTTCTTCGAGACAAGAAGTTTCTTTTACCTTTCAATTCCTCGCGCAATTTTATTTCAATTTACGAGGTTTTTTGAAGATAAAGATGGCGATAAAATTACGAACTTCATCGAGCGTCACTTCCCAAGTACTATATAACCTTGAAGAAAACTGTATACTATACACTATACGTCATCGTCCACTTTTGAGAAGAAGAAACAACCAACCAATTATCGGCGAGTTTTCAAACTTTATCGTCGCGGAAGATGGGCGAAGAAACGATATCGTGACTTAGATAACTAACCAACTATTCGAAAGCAACGCATGATGCTACTTGCAGTCACCGGTTGTGGACGAAGGCCCTCGCCATCCTATGGTTCACTCAATCTGCACGCGATTGCGGGAAAAAACGATTCGTTTCGTGGAAATGGACGACACGTGAGGAAAAATCTGCGAGCCATAGGAAGGACGATTTGAAGCACGCACGTATATAATACACACGTACACATCTCGTTCGAGCGTTCTCGAAACGTTGGCGAAGGTAATGGAAAACGGAGGCGCAGGCAGACTTGAGCAATTATCGGTGGTTACGTCTTATTATTAATAACAATAATGAGGGTTAAAGTCGGTAAGGATATCGCGTGCGCTCCCACGGGTGAACTGCGTGCCTGGATATAAACGATGTATCCGCCTAATAGGTATCCATGCCTCGAGCAAATTCTTTGCCTCTCCAATATATACGTATACATATATATATCTTTCTCTCTCTCGTCCATCCAAACCTTGCCTCTTCCTCCCTTCAACTTTGTTCACGCGCGCGTACGTATAAAATTTTTCTCAAAACCGTTGTTCTCAATGAAAGAAACCGCACGAAGCTCGCGCGATTCCCTCTCTTTCAACCCTTTGACTCGCACCGTTCCATCGGGAGGAGAGGATCGCCGAGGATCGCGAGCCGACGACCATGGATGTGCTTACTCGTCTCGATGGCATCGCGATGGCTACCGGCATCCTTCCATCCCGATCGTGGCCGCCATTCCGCTCACAAAGGAAAATAGACGTAGCGATAGCGGGGCCGCTATCACCTCGAGGCAGAGGTGTGCGAGTTCCTTCGAGAGCGTTCCCATCCGATCGCGCCACGATCGATCTTGTTAAGCGAGTGATAAGAGGGCCGATATACCGTGCGGTATATTGAATTAATCGTCGGGGAGAAATTAGACGATAGCTCGAGCCGCGTGTTCCATTCCTCTCGAGAAATTTATCGTCGCTCCGTATCGAGACGCAAACACGCGCGGCAAACGGGCGAGCGGCGATCCATCTCGGCGAATTCGTCGATCCGACGATAGATAGGTGGATAGATCTCGTATCTTTTATCCTCTGGAATATCGTTCGGGTGAGTGGAGATCGCAAGATTCGAGTCTGGAAGGGGGGGGGGGATTAATTGTTTGCCGCTGTTAAGTAATTGGCCGGCCGATTATGGTACATTATATTCACCTCGAGGACGCCTAAGGAGTCCGTATCCAGTGGAGATGAAGACATTACGGGCGAGCCGAGAGAGCAGCCCGAACGGTATTTTTACGAGCGGCTCGTAAAGTTAACGAGGACCGAGGTAGCAGCGAGTCGAAGGAAAGGGAGAGAAATCAACGTTCCACCGATGCTCGGTGGCTCGCCTCCATTTTTCTCTCTCCTTTTCTTTCTTTCTTTCTTCTTTTTCTTCCGCGCTCCTCCAAACGGGAGAACAATGCCTTCGCTCGCGCCACTTTGCCTCGTCCAATTCTCCAATTTTCGCAAATGGCAAATCGATTCGCGAGCCAGATTCAGATTCATCCGTTTCTCGAACGACAACGAGAGAGTTTCTCGTCTTCTTCTAGAGATTCTTTTCTTTTTTTGATCACACGGAACAAATTACAGTTGTTAAGATCTCAATCTTAGTATTATATAGTATATAGTCTAGGTATTTCGCTCCAAGCTACGGGACGCTGCTTTTATATTTCCCATAACCCCTTCCCGTAGGTGGAAAATGGCCGATCGATTCGATTCAATTTACGCCGTTTTATCGGCTCGAACGCGAACGATCGAAGCGTCAACATCCGTTTGATTGAATCTCCGCCGAGCAAATCGAATCGAAAGCGTGCCGATGCGACGAATGAAACCTGTCGCCGTGACCATATCTCATCTCGACAAATCGTGGAGAATGATGGATATCCAGTCTCCTATTAGCTTCTGATCGCATATATACAACCCTAATATATACCGGAAACGATATGAGAAGATAGAGAGAGAGAGAGAGAGAAGAGAATCGCCAATCTCGAAGTAGAAAACCTTTCTCCTCGAGCAGAGGGGCAAAGTTTACGAATATTCGCGTTACAGGGTATTAGCAACGATTACACAGGTATCCCAAGATTCGATCGGACAGGGAAACGAACGCGGATGCAATTATCGTGGAAGAGAGGGGGAAATAAGTTTTCTCCTCCACGCTTCATTTTTCTTTCTTTTCCTTCTCTCGCTCGTAGCGGATTTGTCGGCGCGCAGTCTCGCTCGGTTGATCGGCGACTATGCGCCGAGGATTTTCAGCAGCGCGCGTGTCCCTCCACCGTCGGCGTTCCTCCGTCCGTCGGTGGATCCTCAGCGCGATTTTATCGAAGGGGTGGGGGGACGAGCATCTCGCGGGGAACAGCATCGTCACGCATCGGTGAACGAGGCGCGCGTTGATATCTCGCGGCGATGATGACCTGCTCGAGGAGTGGAATGCCGTTGTCCGGATCCAGCAACGATCCGTGGAATTCTGTTACGCGGGCGCCAAACTGCTCTATTAAAGCTCCACCGAAGGTCTGACTCGAAGGAGGATTTTCAGAACTCGGGATTTTCAGAGCTCGTATTCTCGTTTTTTTATTATTCAACATTATTATTCGAAAATTAATAGATCTTATTTTTTTCATCGCGTCGCGTCGCGATCTTGAATGGAATCGATCTTTCTTTCTTTTTTTTTTCTCGAAATGAATTGAATTGATTTCAGACAAAAGTTGATCAGTTTGAGAAAATTGACAATGGATATCGTATCAATTTGCTCACTCGAAATGTTATTCTTTTTCTTCGTCATCGTTGGATGACGAACGGGTCTCTTCGAGACGATCTTATCTTCTCTGGTACGAGAAATTCTTACCCAGAAGTTTGGTGACCACCGCCCCCTGTTGATTCAACGAGAGCACGTGATTGGCCAGGTCGTTGTAGTGTCTCAATGCCCCTAATCCATGGGACAGCTCGAGCAAACGTTGACGGCTGCTTCCACCGCCGTTCCCGCTTGCGAATGGGCCCGCGGTACAGTTCTGCAGGCTCACCCCTGAAAACGTATTAACCGATTATTATGATATTATAATTCCTTGCTGCGCGCGTCCCTCTCCGTCCAACGACGAGATCTCTATTTCGCACGGGCGCGATAAGAGAAGATAAAGGAAAGGGAGTCGAAAAATCGTGGCCGATGCCTCTCTCTCGGGAACCCGTTTCCGCCGATCTCTCTCTCTCTCTCTCTCTCTCTCGGGAACGAAATAAATCGGTCGCTTAACCGGCTGGATTGAGACGGGCAAAAAGCAATGACAAATACGAGTTCATTAACAATAAAGGTGTAACGAGGTTGTGGAACGGCGATCCCGAGGGCTGTAATCGCGCGAATTAATTTAAATTACTCGACTCGGTTACTTGCTCGATCTCATCGATGCCATCTCCTCCTCCTTCTTCCTCCTCTCCTCGTTCCTCGAGGAGGTGCCGAGTGGCGGCACGAGGGAAGGGAGAGGGAGAGAGATGGCCGAGAGAGGTCGGGGAAAAGCATCTGCCTGCCGGTCGAAATCGCGCCGATTAATCACCCGAGGTGCGAATACCCTCGTAATTCCTCGAAGGACACGGCGGGGACCGGTGGTTCGCGACTTCCTCGTGATTTTATAGCCGGCTAATCTCGACGAGGCGTTTCGTTTCGTGCCACTCTCGGAGTGCCGCTCACCGGTGAAACAAGCGACGATTTACGATCGAAACGGGGCCCACGGTATTGAGACCGATCCATTTTTCGCCCGGCCTTAAACCTTACCTTAAACCGAGGCGAAACACCGATCGTATCTCTCTCTCTCTCTCTCTCTCTCTCTTTTCGAAGGGGTGGGGTCCATCCACGGGGGAAGAATTTTTCGTACCAACGCTTCGATTTCCAAAATTTCGATTTTTCGATTCATCCTTCCGATTGTCTGCCAATCGTTTCTCCTCCCGTTTCCAGAGAAGCGTAGAAAATGATCGCGAGCGAAACGACAATCCCTCCTCCTCCTCCTCCTATAATTAATTTTCGAAGGAGAAATCACGGTGGGGAAGAATAATTGTAATCATCAGGAGGAGTAATAATTAGGAGGAGCTGACGCGGAGGGACACGGTGATTTTACCGGCGGATAATCTTAACGACGTTTCACGTACGATCCACGACGATAATTTACGATCGGACGACGATATTAAAGAACCGTTCCCCCAGGGGGAACGATCGACCAAACGGAGAGGAGAGAAAGAGACGAAAATATATCCCCCTCTCCCCCCAGGTATATAGATGGAAACGGGCCCGAGCTCATTTGTAACGCGTTGTTTCGACTGGTCGACGACGAGGCGTCCACGCGTTCGCGCACCACATCCACGCGTTAATTAATTAGTCTTTTACGCGCCGCTCCGATCGCCGATCGCCGATCCAGATGGATTTTAACCGGAATTCCCGCGACCACCTTATCGTATATATATATATACCTATGCTCGTTTCGCATCTCGATAGAGTAACTGGTATATATATATATATATGTATATACATATATTATCTGTGGTGTTTGCTTTTGTCGTCACGGATACACGGTGATTCGAGGAGAGGTTATTAATACCGGTGACTCGTACCATGTATCGAAGCTATAAAGATACCCGTCCAATATATTATCGAAGCTTGTTACAAAGTCGGGACGCGTGCACCGCGTGTTCCAAAAGGCCCGTCACCACCGTTTCTCGTCGGTTTCGCCGCTTAGGAAAGAAATTCGGTACGGAAGCGTTGCGAGCGACGAGGCGAGCACACGATGTTTCCGTTCGAAGCGAAACCTACGCGTTCCCCCCCTGGGCAGCTCTTCTTACATTGGAGACGAGGATTCAAAGGTATCGAAGAAGGTGAAAACGAAAGTAGAGAGAAACGTAGACGTGTCGTCTACGTCGCCCGCGTCGTCGTCCGCGTCGTCGTCCGCGTCGTCGTTGCATCGACGCGACCGCGGTTCTGGAAACCGGTTCTGAAATCGAGTTCTGCCATCGAGACCTCTATATTCTTTCGTATACACGAAATTGCCCCCGTGTGGAAAAGAGCGATCGTTTCGCGCGAGGCTATAGATAAAAAAATAGTGGGTAAAAGCGTGGGTAAGAGCACCCCACGAGATCCCCCTCGGGATCGGGCGTGGAATGGAAACGATCCGATCGATGAACCGGTGGATCGTTCGAATCGGAATCACGCGAAACGATTTCGTCGTCGAACCTCCACGAAAATCCACAGAAATTTGCAGAAAACCGGGCTCCTGATCGAGGTACCTGTCTCTCTTACTCTCTCTCTCTCTCTCTCTCTCTCTCTCTTCGCGCGTGGAGAGCGGTGGCTATAAATTCAGCCGGATTGGAAACGAGATACTTGAGTTATCCACTCCGGAGTAACGGAGAATAAATCGCCATGGGGACGAAGGGACGGACACGAGATCCAATTAGCTGCGCATACTTCGATTCAATATTGTCCCCCCCTCCTCCTCCTCCTCCTCCTCCTCCTCCTCCTCCTCCTTCTTCGCTTAATTAGTCTAAACGTTTCGCGGGGCGGTGTCGCGCGATTCGATTTACGCGTTCCCCGTTTAACAGGGAAATTGACCGATCGTTCTATCCACGTTCCCAAGATTCTAATTAACGGTTCGACTCTTGGCAGCAACAACAACGACAACCGATCCGCTCGTTACGAGGGAAAGCGACGATTCCACAGCGGTGGAAATACTCTGGTGAGGGGACACAAAGCGGTGGTCGTCGACACCACGAACGGACGGATGAGACAGAAGATCGGCTGCCTACCTACCTAACTACCGAGGGGAGGGAGAGGACCCGTCTCTCCTCGAAAATACCTGCTGGGTGTGGCAGTAAAATCCACGCGGACGTGGATAAGGGAGGGAGGAAGGGAGGGGGGGGGGCAGAGAGTCTCGAAGCGTGGAATATCGGGAACGGCGCGCGATATCGGGGGCAGCACAGAAGTCAAGAGCGTAGAGGGTACCGATCACCACGGGGACAGGATATCGAAGGTTCAACGAGAGCAGCAGCGGCGTTGGAAAGACGTACTGTTGGCGCAACGCATTGAAACCGGTTCTGAACGAGTATGGCTGGTAGCGAAGCGTCGTTCCATCCGGCAAGTGTAAACCACGGAAAGGATCTCTCTCTCTCTCTCTCTCTCTCTCTCTCTCTCTCTCTCTCTCTCTCTCTCTCTCGGTGGATATATACCGAGTAGTAGTGAGTCGGAGAGATCGAACTCGGGACACCTACTCGATTCCTTTTGAATCCCGTCGATCGCCACCACGCCACCGATCCGAGCCTTATCAATCGGGATTCTCGAGGGGGGGAAGGGGCGAGCGTTGGGGCGAGGAGAAGTAAGGTCGACGGTCCGTTCGGCGCGGATTTCTCCATGGATCTTTGGATCTTTTGGATATATCGGGGGAAGGAAAAAATCCGTGGGCGTTTCGTTACACGCGTGCAACGACGATTCCCTTGCCCTTAGCCGGGATCGGTCAATTAGCATTCGTCGGGTAAAAACAAGCTCGTCGCGAATCGATGATAACGCACCGCAAGCATCGTGATCCGATCCGTATTGCGTGCAACTTTAGCACCGCGTTCAATCGTTTCTTCGTTCTCGCAGATTATATATGTATATATATATATATATATATATATGTATATATGCCCGATCGGCCGTCGTCGTGCGCGTCCTCCCATTATGGAAATAAGAAATATACCTGACCGGGATAATTTGCGTCACCTCTCGTCGTTCCGCGACGCGATTATTTAACCGCCTCTCCGATAAACGTCACGGGACGTTTCTTGCGCGATGTTTATCCACGGGAGGATCGTCCGGTCCCCTGTCCCATTATCTCGTTTCTTTACAGTGAACGGGGAACGCGCCCTTCGCGTATATGCACATATATATATATATATTTTTTTATTAATTTTATTAACGCGAATCATCGTATCGATTTTCCATTCCTCCTCGCGTGTTAACCCAGTGGCGAGCGAGCGAAGGAAGATACTATCATCGTGGACGGAGGGAAGATCGTATCATCCCTTAAAGAATCGGGCGGCCTGACTTGCCCGACAGACCCTGGATTTCGACACCTGGAGCACCATGAAACGACGTTGTTACGCTCGTTTAACGCGATTTAACGTTTCGACCCTTTTTTCCCTTTTTTCCCCCTTCCTTTTTTCTCTTTTTCACGTGGCCGCGCGTGAGGGGGGAGAAGAGATTACGAGAAAAAGGTGATCTCGAATCGTTGAATCAACGTTCTCTCGCGTTAACGGGTAATGAATGGAGGAACGGACAACAAGGTGTAATCGGTATGTCGAGTTTTTGCCCATCCTCGGCAAAGGTAACGTTTACGAAGCGCCGCGCGGAGCACGCCGGTTTAAATGGAGGCGCGAACGGAGAGGAGAGGGGGGGGGGAGAGGAGAAAAGAGATAATAATCGCCTTTAAAGATTTTTGGATCGTAGCGCGATACGTTGGCAACAGATCAGGTCGTCCAATTAAATTTAATTGCCGCGGTTTTGTTCGACGCGAGAAACTATTAGCTCGCTCGATCCAAAGTCTCGGTCTCGGTTTGTTTGCGTTCCATGGAAATTTTCAGACCGAGACGAAGCGAAGCGTAACGCGAATGTTTTCATCGATTATTCAGCGAAGACAACGTGTATTCAAGTGTTCGGTACACGGTCAATTCGCAACGTGGCGCCCGATTCCTCCCTCCTCCTTATCGCCCCGATAAGCCAAATTAATTACCCTCCCCTCCCCCTCCCGTCTCTTCGCTTCCAACGAGAGTTTTCACGCTCGATCGCGGCATTTCCTCGAAACGCTTATCCGCTTCGGCCTCACGTGCCCGAGATATCGTCGTCGTCGCCGAGAGAGGAGGACGAGAGTTTCTACGAGATTTCCCGCGAAAACGGAAACGACAAACGGAAGAATCTAGCGTTTCGAAGAAGGTGGAAAGAAAGAAAGAAAGAAAGAAAGAAAGAAAGAAAGAAAGAAAGAAAGAAAGGAGATGGACGTCGAGGCGAACTGACCGTCGATCAACGACACCGGAGGCACGGTCATCTGTTGATGGTGATGCGCGGCTGGATGCTGATGATGGTGCGGTGGATGGACCTGAAACAGATGCGACCTCGTCTGCGAGAAGGTCGGCGAGGGTGGTTCCCAAGGTCGGGCGACGCCGGTGCTCACGGGGGCATCGTCGTCGTGGCAGCAAAACTTGTCGGTCAACGGGGCCCCTGGCCCGCTCCCGCAATTCACCACTGCGTGTCCCTCGTTATTGTTGTTGTTGTTGTTGTTGTTGTTGTTGTTCGCAACGTCCCCGTTGTTGTTGTTATTATTGTTGCCGCCAGCGTTGTTGGAGTTGGCGATACGCGTAGTAGTCGCGCCTGTCGCGGGGCTACCACTACCACTAGCACTGCCACTGACACTACCACTGCCAATGCCGTCGACCTGCACCATTTCGCTGTCGATCGCAGCCGCCGACTTGGCAGTACCAGGAGGGGTCGCGACGCCGCCACCGATCATCATCACCAGACGATCACCTCCACCCCCTCCACACCCAGCACCAGCTCCTCCTCCTCCTCCTCCTTTTCTTCCTCCTCTTCCTCCACTTCTCTACCCAAACCCGTCCTCCTCCCTATACGCCGCGATCGTTTCTCTTCCTGTTCCTTCCGCGTCCGACGGATGACGCTCTCTCCTCGTTTCTTCTCGATCCACCCCCTCCTCCCCTCCCTTGTTTCCTCTCCTTCCTCTTCGTCTCGAGAGCGACGCTATTTCTCGTACACCGATTTCCTCCTCCAATTTTTCCACGGAGTTTTCACGGCCTCCTCTCTTCCTCTTGTCTCGGGGCGAGTCCTCGAGCCAGGGCAGGCAGATAAGCGCGAATAGGCGAAGAAGAGGAGCGGTCGAAGATCGGTCGGCGTATGCACACCGTGGTTGTACGCACGCACTTGGCCCCGCACTCGCGAGAGGTGTCACAAAACGGTGAGATCGGTGCGCGCGTCGCGCTGGCGCAGGAGCGCGCGAGCGCAATCGACGCCAGGATCCGGCGTGGCTTCCCGCGTACGATCAACGGAGCGGAGTGACATCCTGTCCTTGGACCCGTCGGCGAACGCGCCTCATCGCAGCGCGAGCTTTCACGTCGGCTGTCGCGTCTACGTGGACGAGCGTAGTCGATGCGAGGAGGTAACGGCGAGGAGTGCTCGCGAGCGCAGGCGCTTCGTCGAAGCTCGTGACTACCTATAGACGTGCGTGCCCTTCTCTACCCTCCCACCCTCCCACCCTCCCTCCCTCTCTCTCTCTCTCTCTCTCTCCGTCGCTCTATAGGCCTCCCTCCCTCTCCCTCCCTCTTTCCACCACCGCTCTCCTCTTTCACTTCGATCCTCGACTTCTTTCTCTCGGCTTCCTACCGTCTCGCTTCCACCTTCCCGCCCGTCCCGTCCCCCTCCCTTCTCCAATAACGGGCGACGAGGTACAAGCGACCACGGGATAACCTGCTCGCGCTCCGCCGGATTCGAGCAGATTGCCTCCCGTCCGGGCTTTCGAAGCGCGCCAACGGCCGGCCTCACCCCCACTCGCTTCTCGCGCCTCTCGCGGGAGCAGCTGACATCCAGATTTCAGGTAACCCACGCTCTTTATACTTGCCCTTCTCTCTCTCTCTCTCTCTCTCTCTCTCTCTCTCTTTCCTCGGCCTTGTTCCAGTCTTTCACCTTCCCGATATATTCCGCTTCTCTTTCGATTCTTATCCTCTTCTACAGCTTTGCTTCCCAATCCTTCTCTCGATCGGGCGAAAACACGGTATCTCCTCAAACGCAACACCCATCCGTATAACACGTATATACGTATATTTGTATTGTATATTTTATAACGAATATCTCGCGCACTTGGTTGATTTGACAGCTCGACGGGAGCACGTGATTCTTCTCGACGCCGTCATCCACCCTTCGCGATATCCATGACCGAGTCGAGGAACAGGCGAGGAGGGGGAAAATCGAGGGCGAGGATAGCGTGAAAAAAATGAGCAAGAAGCTGAAGGGAAGCAACGGCGGAAGGAGAGGAAGGAGAAGAGGGAGAAGAAGAAGAAGAAGAAGAAGAAGAAGAAGAAGAAGAAATAGAAGGAGAACGATGTAACACGAGTACACGGGGTAACCTGTTCGCGGTCCGCCGGATTCGAGCAGATTGCCTTCCGTTCGGTGGCTCGAAGCGCGCCCAGACTAGCCTTACCCCCACCCTCCGAGCCGCTCAGGTGAGATCAAGATTTAAGGCGCCGCGGCGCGCGGCGGCGGTGGCCGCGGCGGCGGCGGCGGTAGCGCTCGCGAACACGAGCAGGAGGAGGACGAGTGGACGTCCAGAAGAAGAAGAAGGAGGAGGAGGAGGAGGAGGACGAGAAATACGAGTTCACGGAGCAAAAGAGGAGAGAGAGAGAGAGAGAGAGAGAGAGAGAGCGCGAAGACGAGGCTTGCACGATTACGATCGCGAGGCGGTGGAGAGGAGCGGCGAGGAGGAGGAGAGAGGAGCGAGGCTTAGCCGAAACGGGGCGACGGGGCGAAGGGGGAAGAAGCCAGGAGCCTCATGCGAGGATGCATGAAACGAGTGTTCGGGTAAAGGTAGCCAAGTGCGCACTCGATGCCGCGCATCTGAGCTTACCCAACGCCCACCGACCATTACCGGCCCGATCGACCAATTGGGCGAACCGGTGGACGCCCACCGATCTCTTCGACCCGGCGCTCGTCGTCGCCCACGCCGAGCTCACCCTTTCTTCCGCCTTCCGCTTTCCGCCTTCCACCCGGACCTCTTTGTCCTTCCCGCGGACGGGATCGATTAATTCCCGAATCGGATGTCGATGTCGGATGCCGGCTACGCTCCGGAATCGCCGATTCCAACGATTAACCTGCCTCGCGATACTCGTCCTATGTACCACCGCTACGTCGTCGATTAAGGTTTTTCTCCAACAACTCTTTTTTCTTGGCACCTCGGGGATGCAAATTTTCTTCTTAGCTTCATTCGTTTCGAACGCGTTCCCTTTCCTCCTTGTAGCGAGATATCGAGGTTCGTTCGTATACACGATTTCACGCGGTTCCTTCATCGAAGCAACTCGAGTTAAGTAAGTAAGAAGTTCGTCTCCTCGATCGAACTTATTTTCGAGAATCGTATCTATTAGGAGTTTCGCTGAACGGTTGGTCGACCCGCTTCTCGTTTTTCGTCTCGTTTCCAGGTGACTGGAAGACGGCATCATGGGAAAATCGGAGCGCAGTTATCCGTATGGCGGATGGAGAGACACGCGGCTCGTTTGCGTGGCGAACGCGCGTGTTTCCTGTTCCCCGCGCTTTTCGTTTGATTTTTTCTCCTAGATTCGAGAAAAAACAGACCGGGTACCATTTAACCAATTTTTTTTTTTTCGCTTATTAATAGTTAATAGAACTTGTTTAAACGAGGTGTCGGTGATCCGTGAGATCGGCATAACAGTTCAATAACACGGATGAAACGGGCGAAGAAGGAGAAGAAGGATCGTTTCAAAGATCGCACACCCTGAGGGTAAATATTATACGTAAAGATCCGTATAAATCGCGGAGAAACAATTTGCCAGGTAATTTCTCGTTCACTTCCAAAGGATACACGCAAAGTTTCTCAAACTAATGTGTCCTTGGTGAGGCCAGAATCGTTAATTTCATTTGCGTGCACGATGCGACGACTCGAATTCTTTTCGAGTAAACGAAAACAATCCGTCCCGTGTAACTGTGACTTCTCTTTACATGCAATACACATATATATATATATATATATATATATATATATATATTCTTTACCATCGATCATCTTTGTCCGCTACAGTTTTCGATACGTTCGATCGGTTAAGAGAAAATTGGTGGGTGCTCGCGAGCAATGCCGTGGTTTGCTCGTATTTTTAGCGCGATACAGGAAGAGGTTTACCTTCGAAGTCTGTTCACGAGCGCGAGTCACGCGCGCAAATCGAGGCGAGGAAAGGAAGAAGGAAGGCAACCAATTCGATGCAAATTCTTTCTCCTCGCGTGCTGCTCTCCCGGCTACATAAAAGCAGATCGATCCTTCCTCCGCTACCCCTTTCGAACAAGTTCCAAAGTATCGATCTCGAAAATACCGTATTTCTCTCTACTTTGATCCCGCCACGTTTGTAAATAATAACTACGCTTGCGCTTACAGCGAACGCTTCGATATATATATATATATATATATATGTTGTTAAATGTTCTTTACCTCTGGCTAGCGAATTTTCTGTGAAAAGTTTTCTCTGGAAAAGACAACTGACAACAAGTAACAATAATAGCCGCTTTGCGATATTTGTATAATTGTAGTTCGCTTTATTTATTATTTATTCAACGTTTAATATTCAACCGATTTATATCCGTAAACAAATTTCTCTTTTTATCGCGAGAAATTGTTCGAATAAGAAACTACTTTTGACCGTTGATCACCGTTTCGTGCGAAAAGATACGCGCAAACAAGGCACTCTATATTTATCATATTAAAAAAGTTGAAACAAGGTGTAAGTAATTTTTTAGGAATTCATTCTATCGAGGCAGTGAAAGGAAGAATGCGCGAACAATAGCTGCGTGACTTGCTTCGTTTTCTGTCAGAAAGATCACGTTGGGATTCTCACGTTGGCCCGCTTGTTCTCGGTCCCCTCCGTTCGCATCTCCCCAAATCTGGCAAACGATGTGGTCACAGTAATTTAGCCGCTTTGACCGCTAAACTGCCTCTTCGCTTCCCTCGAGGGTTTAAAGTCGAACGACCCCTCAAAACTATGCGGAAGAGAACGGAGAACGCTGTTTCAAACACCTGACGAATCCTTTCACGTTTCAGGAAACGAAACGAAACGTGAAACGAGATTGAAATCTAAACTCGAAATTCGAGCAATTTGTTCCAAGATCAATTTGAAACGTCAAACGTTCCGTGCTAACGATGTTGTCAAACTTGCTCAACATTTTTTACAATTTTCCTGCAAGCATGGCATATCGATGATCGCCATCTCGTTAACGAGATTAGTCCGCTCGGTTGGTTCATTTCGTCTCCACTGAACTTGAGACGATTTCCGTATCCGAGAACGAAGCCATTGACCCCGTTCGATGATCTTCCGATACTTCCCTCTCCGATACGAATGAGAAATAATCGTTTGACCCCAAAAAGGAAAAAAAAAAAAAAAATATAGCAAGATGACCACTCGTCGAGAACTCGTTACTAATTGAATCAAGAACGCGTTCCTTTTTCACGCAATGCGCCACGCGACTTGCGCGGCTGTGCTCTTTCTTCAGGTAATGCGAACAGGGGGATTGTCTGTGGTTGGGAGAGAGAGAGAGAAAGAGAGAGAGAGAAAAGGGAAGAAAAATATATATATATATATATATATATGTATCGCGACGATTACCGGGGAGGCGGTGGCACACGTAGCACGAAGCAAGATTTATCGCGAACACTTTGCATGGTCGTCCGAGTTTGACTCGAAGAGAAACTTCGAGACACCACTATTACCGCTGTTGCTATTACTAGGCGGG